CGTCATCATTTGCTCCGCAGCTCAGGTGTCATTAACTCGGTCAGATGTGACAGCATTTTATTGGCAGCAGCCGGAGAGCGCCCGCGAAACGCGGCGGCTCTTGCGGGTTTTTGACAACAGGTCCATGATTCGTCGTCACTCCTGTTTGTTTCACTCCTTTCCTTGGCAAACCCCAGAGAACCGTCCTGAGGAGGCTTCGAGGGACAGGATGGGATCAAGCTTTGCGTTTGAACTGCAGACCAAGGAACAGGTTGTGTGGTCGCCCGGCGGACGCAGGTTTGTTTGTTTACATGAAATAAATGTTCCCTTGCAGTGCTTGAAACCTGGAGTGTGAAGCGTGAGAAATCTGAAAGTGAAACCGACCGGAAGCCCAAAAAGCGACAGATGAATGTGTTTCCACTGTCCAAGCTGAGGAAAGCCCCGAAAGCAACCAATAATGAAATAATGAAATGCCTCATCGATTTTAAATTAAATTGTACTAGCTTGAATCACTTGAAGAAGTTTATCTTGTTGGGGGTTTTTTTGGTGTTGTTTTTTTTTGTTTGTTGTTGTTATTTGGATGTGGTTCGGTTTTGTTGGGGTTTTTTAAATACCTGATATTTTGCTGTTCAAAGGTGAATTCCACAATTCCATGCTGTGCATTCAACAGGAATAACATGATAAAATTGTCTTTTCTTTCCTCTGGTTACTGATTAAAGACTAGAAAAGGATGTCTTTACCACAGGAACTGCTCCACAATGCCCATGTATTTTCAATGAATTATTTTCAATTTTACAAGCAACTTTCAACTCTAACTACCTGTGTAATGGCAGCTTTATCAGTAACAGCCTCCTTAAATAACATCGTCACTGATATATCCTCTAATAAAACCATACTTGCCTTTAGAGGGAAATTTTACGCAGGGACAACAGTTACAACATACATGAATGAATCGAGAGTGATTGCTTAACGTTTGTAATTGTTCAGCCCTTTCTGGTTTATGCAAAGTTACTTTATTATCCTTTGTCATTCCTTAGATTTAACCACTTCAGAGTAGTTCATCAGAAACCGTGTCTGTGCAATGCCCAGTGCAAGAAGAGCACAACCCCATTCATAGATTTCTATATTAGTCATTGTGAGAAAGGAGTCAAAAAAGAGCTACAAGGAAGATCATATACCTGGGGCTCATGTTTTTGACTGGAAGACTTGGTAAATCCATCACAGGTATCCCAAACATACTCCCAGGTTTGGCATTAACATAATGGCGAGAAATCTAGAGAAATTCAGGGAGATTTAGGGTGGTAGAGGTGGTGGTGGTACATTTAGGCTAACAACAAAATGAACTTTTCAACTGCAAGTTTAATTAAGCCCTTGATGATTCATTTAGGGCTCTGTCTTTAAGGTAAATGGGATTAAAGCCATTAAATATGAATATTAAATATAGTAAAATATATTTAAAATACATCTTTACATACATATTTTAAATAGATTTAAATATATTGAAAATACATTCACAAATCACAGTTGCAGAGCTGAAGGAGTTACTGCGTGGACTTCTGTGACCAGTGTTAACACAAAATAAAATCAGATGCATAATCCCTGTGACACATCCTGGTCTTAAAATTACCTGATCTGTGAATCTACATCTATAACATGGTAATACAGGCACATGCAGAATTAGGGAGAGATCTTGCAGTATTTCCTGCAGCAAAGGAGTTGAAAACAGTGATAAATTTCTACTGGAGCTGAAAGTCTAGGATTAGGATTTTTCTTGCTGTATGGAAGACAGGGAAAAATTGGTGTTGCTTAACTCTCCTGGTGCCACAGCCTTATCTCACAAGGCTGCCACATACTTTGCAGAAGGGGTTGCCGGGTCCATCCTCTCCTGGGTGAGCTGAGTGATAAGGCTGCCGTTCCTTTACAGGGAGCAGAAACACCTAACAGGTGCCTCCCACACTCCAGGAGATCAACTGAA